GGCTGAGGCAGGAGGATTGCAAGTTTGAGATAGGCCTCAGTGACTTAATGAGACCCTGTCTCAAAATTTAAAGGGCTTGGGATAACAGCTTGGTGGTAGAGCACCCTGGTCACAGGAAAAAAAGAAAAAAGATGGGGGCGGGGAGGGGGGAGAAGAGAAAGAAAGAAGTGACCACACACCTGGAGTTAGATACTCATTTATTACCTGTAAATGAGGCAACTCCTGGACCAGCTCTAAATGTCAATGTTTAAATCCCAGTCTATCTCTTCCCAATCCTATAGAGCAACCCAGAACCATGTGTGGGAAGGCTTCTGGTCCTCTTGCTGTGCTGAAAATACCAGAAAGGCAGGAAGCACCGCAGCCTCAGGAGCCCAGCCAAGACTGTTGGTCCTGGAGCTGTGCTGTGCTGCTCTACATTTCACTGGAGTCTCCAGCTGTGGTTCTTTGGCCATATCCTTCCTCTGTCCAGAGTTTTCTAGGGCTACATCTCTTTTGAATTCATAGACATTGATATAATCTACTAGATTGGCCTCCCTGCTCCACCAAGCTTATTTCCTTAACCTTTCATGCTTTCCCTCCAATCTCCAAGCTTTTGCCCAAGAAGGCCCAAGATCTTGCCCAAGCAAATCTTCCCAGATGGACTGACCCCAGGGCTTGCCACAAAAACAACAGCTAATGGCACAAGAAAAGGGCGGACCCCCACCAACCTGCCAGTCCTCCCACCAGAACCCAGAGCTGGGTTTGGTGGAGGAAGGGAACTTATTTTCCCAAAAAAATCCCACCTCTTCTCCAAGCCACATACCACAAGGATGGCATTACCCAGTGGGCTGCTTTTTCTATTTTGCACCAAGTTTCTGTGTAGACCAGCAGAGTGGCCTCAACTGTGCCCTTCCTGTCCTCAATATATTTCAGTTGCAATCTCTCATCACCATAACTGACATATTTGGATTGATTCCTTGCAAAGCTGCTTCATTCTCTCAGTACCTACAAGTATTATTGCCTATTTTTCTGTTATCCTGGTGCCTAGGAAAAGTTTTATTTTTCTCCTACCTCACTTCAAGCTCAGTGATAAACAAGGAATTGAGGCTAGATAACAGGTAAAGTCTAAAACCTGCAGATCAGTAAATCAATCAGGTGAGAGTAGCATGGGCTCCTTGTCAGAGAGGCTAGGTTCAGGGCAGCCAGGACTGAGGCAGGGGGCTGACTGAAACACCCTCTGACGGGCACTGCCAGCCCTGTGATTCCCCCTTCAGCAAATGGGGCCAGCTGTATGCAAATTCGTTTTGCCCAGGAGTTTGGTTTCTTCTCTCTGAGCTCCTGGCACAGTAGAACCAACGTGAGCAGCCACTTGGCAGGACAGAGAAGGGCAGACTAGCAGTCTCAAGGCTCAGGTGACAAGGCGAGGCCCAGGAGACAGGGATGTTGACTGGGGCTTTAACAGCAGTCTTGATGCCAATCTCAGGCTGAAAACTCAATATTTCCACTTGAAACAGCAAGAAACACAGGCAGAAGGGTTGGGCAGAGGGCAGTGCACCAGGAGTGCCCCCTGCAGGTCTCACTGGGTGGTGCCAAGCAGAGGAAGGTGGCACAAAATGGATGAGACTATCAAAAGGTCCCTAGGATGATGGTATGAGGCTACTGGCTATGATGGTAAAAGAAGGAGGAGGAGGAAGAGAGAGAGGAAAATAGAAGCTAGCATCTATGTGGTACTTACATATTGGGCATTGCTTTATGTCATCTTTGTGACAACCCTCAAGAAATGGATAACATAGTTATTCTCATTTTAAAAAAATCCCTTGGAGTTGTAGATGGACACAATGCCTTTATTTTATTTGTTTATTTTTATGTGGTGCTGAGGATCGAGCCCAGTGCCTCACACGTGCTAGGCAAGCACTCTACTGCTGAGCCACAACCCCAGCCCCTCTCATTTTTTAGATGAAAAATATGTAGAGGTCTAGAGAGGCAAAGTAAAATTTTCTCAAAGTCACCCAGGTATCAGAGGACAGAGTTGAGATTTTTAACCCACGTCGTTGCCCCGTAAGTTTATATTATTCAGCATCCCCCACTGCCTCCCAACTTGCAAATTCATTCCAGAAACATCTAGCCTGCCAGTGTTCATTTTTTACATCTTTCTGCTCCTCCAATTCATATTTTCTTCCAACTTTAAAAGATCTATAAAAGAATAGATCTATATCTTGGATATAACAATAGAGATAACAACAATAACACCTTATATCTGTATACAACTCTGCTTTTAATTATTTCCCTGGAACTGGGGCTGGGGTTGTAGCTCAGTGGTAGGGCACTTGCCTATCAGGTACAAGACCCTGGTTCAATCCCTAAACTGAAAAAAAAATTTTTTTAACTTCTCTGAGGGAAAATGGACCTTGAAGTATTCCATTTTCCCCAAGATTTTTTTTCCTGATTTTTTTCAGTGCTCCCTTCAGCTATTCCCATATAAACACAATCAACTTATAAGAACATTTAGTGATGTGCTTTTTTACATAACATTCTATCTATACACACATTCACATACATAAACATGACTGTTACTTTGATTTCCAACATACTAACCTATTATATTATATGCCACGGTTATTACATTACTGCAGAAAAAGCATGGAGTTGACAATATCAAATGCTGGCAAGGATGTGGAGCCACAGGAACAGGAATTCAATGCTGGTGGGCATGCGAAATGGCAGAGCCACTTTGGAAGACAATGTGGTGGTTTCTTACAAAATTAAACATATTCTCACCACAGGATCCAGCATTCGTGCTCCTTGATTATTTACTCAAAGGAGTTGGAAACTTGTTTCTACACAAAACCCTGCACGCAGATGTTTATAGCAGCTTTATTCGTAATTTCCAAAACTCAGAAGCAAGCAGGATGTCCTTCAGGAGGTGAATAAATAAATAAACTGTGGCACATCCAGACAAGGGAATATTATTATTCAGCACCAAAAATAAATGAGCTATCAGGCCATAAAAAGACATGGAGCAGGGGCTGGGGTTATGGCTTAGCGGTAGAGCACTTGCCTTGCACGTGTGAGGCATTGGGTTCGATCCTCAGCACCACATAAAAATAAACAAACAAAACAGCAAAATTAATATACTTTAAAAAAGAAAGACATGGAGCAACCTTAAATGCACAAGTTAGGGCTGGGGGGATAGCTCAGTGGTGGAGCACTTGCCTAGCATGTGTAAGGCCCTGGGTTCAATTCCCAACACCACCCCTCCCATCAAAAAAATGTATAAGTGAAAGAAACCAATCTGGGAAGCTACATATTATATGAAATCCAACTATATGACATTCTGGAAAAGACAGAACTATGGAGACAGTAAAAGAAATCAGAGGTTGCTAGTGATTAGTAGGAGGAAGGGATGACTAGGCAAAGCACAGAGGATTTTTAGGGCAGTGAAACTACTTGGCATGATACTGTAATGGTGAATACATGTCGTTAAATATTTATCGAAAGCCACAGAATGTACAACACCAAGGGTAAATCATCATGTAAATCACCTATGGACTTTGGGTGATTATGTTGTGTCAATGTAGATTCATCAATTGTAACTGAAGTACCACTCTTGCAGGAGGTGTTGAAAATGGGGGAGGTTATGCAGTGCAGGGGCAGAGGACACATGGGAAATCTCTGTACCTTTCTCTTGACTTTTGCTGTGAACCTAAAACTGCCCTAAAGAAATAAAATCTTAGTCTACGGGTATAGCTCAGTGGTAAAGTGTTTGCCTAGCATGCAAGAGGCCCTCAGTTTGATTCTCAACACACACACACACACACACACACACACACACACACAATGTCTTAGCAAGATATGATGTTGCACACCTATAATCCCAGCTATTTGGGAGGCTGAGGCAGGAGTATCAAAAGTTCAAGTCCAGCTTCAGCAACTTCATGAGACCCTGTCTCAAAATAAACTAAAGAGGGCTGGGAATGTAGCTCAGTAGTTGAGTGCCCCTGGGTTTGATCCCCAGTACCACCAAAAAAAGAAAAAGAAAAAAAATTTTAAAAGCTGAAGGATAAATAGTTATCACTAATACTAACCTAAACTTTTCTCTCTGTTGTATATCTGGGTTGTTTCTCAACTTTTTGATATTAACAAAATATATTTCAAAGCCCTTCTATTTATATTGCCTGACTTGACCTGCACACTGTGTGAAGTAGGTAGAAAGAGGCTGTTTGCGCATGCACATATTCTGGGATAGATAAAACGACTGTGTCTCAGAGAAGTAAAGAGACTCCTATGGGTCACATCACAAATCAGTGACAAGGATTAGAATCCTGACCCTGCCTCCCTTCCCTGCCTCCAGTGGATATCTTTTCCCTCTAGCAGCCTCTTTCTGGATCAGAGGCCTCTCCAAAAATAGAGGCTGTGATGGTGGCCTGACCCCAAAGCAGTACCTGCAAACAGAGGACCCTGTTGGCAGTGGTGAGCTCCCAGATGGCCCTTTGAAATTCCAGGAAACCAAACATTTTATTCCCAAATACCTCAAAGCCCATAGTTTCCCAGAGTAAGGAACTCACTAGGAAAAGACCAGCATGCAAGCATTTGTTTTTCTTTTCTTCTCTCTCTCTCTGTCTCTCTCCTTTGAGGGGGTGAGGAGGCAAGCTCTGAGTTGTCCAAGAGGAGGGACTTTGACTAAAAATAGCTGTGGCGCGTAGATCAGCCCCTAGTGGTACCCAAGACCGGGGGAAGGAGGGGGATGCTCTGGAGCTGTCGCCAGACTGGTTGCCATGGAAACGAGAAAGGAGCAGGGGAGCCTGGGAAGTGAGGATGACACAGATAGCAAGTCCTAGTCGGAGCTGCCGCTACCTTTAGGAGAAACAGCAGTGTCTGCGGCTCCCATTCTCCAAGGGGGCCCATCGGGGTGGGGGCGGTGTCAGGGGCATGGACGGCACCCCCCCAGGGTCTCTGCTGCTGGCTACTCTCTTCTCCACGAGCTGTGAGTTGAGTTGTGGGGGACTTGGGGTTTGGGCCCCTGTATGCAAGGCAAGTGGGGGTTTGGGAGGAACTGGTTTCTGAGGGAGATTTTACCAGATCTCCTTCCAAAACATGAGTCCCCTTGCTGCCCAGCACCCTGGAGGGGAAGGAAAAAGAGTCCAGGAAAATGTGGTGCTGGGATATTCTAGAAAGGGGTCATAGCATGCCCAGGAAGTAGGAGTAGATTTGGAGGAACTAGAATTATTGGAGGGAAGATGCAAAAGTCAAGTCCTTGATCTTGAGACAGAGGCAACAATTACACACCTTTCCTTCCCCATGACAGAAATACAGCCCCTCCTCACTCAGGAAAACGGGACATGGGACACATTCAAAAGAAGGCGCACTATATCCCTAGGACAATGGAGAGCAAGAGAGTTCTGGGGGTCATCAGACATTGGGGTCCCTTGCTCAAGCCTGGGCATAGAGATGGAGGTCAGATTACCCAAACCCTGAGAGAATGTCTGGAAGCCACTTTGGGTTAAAGCTAGGATGCATCCTACCTGGCTACTTTACTGCATGACCTGGGGTCTCCGAGCCAGATCACTTCTAGGACATCCTGAGCTACAGGGAAGGGAGAAGAAGCCTGTTGTTGGGGGAGGGGGAAAGTTCCTAATCTGCTATTGCCAAGGTGCCCCCGGATCCTCCATGGAGTTAGTTGTCCCATGACTCCATGGAAAATAAATGTAGGAGTGCCTCTAAGTTCCAAGTCATCTCTTTTTCATTTCTCCTTCTGTCCTCTACCCCAACACATACATACTCTCTCCAAAGGTCTGGGTGCAAAGCACTTGGCTCCAGAGTTTAAAATCCGGGGTGTTGGATTTGCAGTTATATGTCCAGCCAGTTTCTCCCCAGGAACTGGTCAAACATCCAGGCCATCTGTGATCTTTTTTGCCACACTCCTGCTTCCCTCCCCCACAGCCAGCCCAGGAATTGGGAGTAGAGGACAGTTCCCAGGAAAGAGGAGGGAAGGTTGACTGTTCCTAACTCCTTATTCTAGACTTTTCCTTTTGTGGTTCATACTGCTTAGGAGTCCCTGGGTGACTAAGAAAGGACTTCAGACCTCTGTCTCTCAGGGCAGATTGCAGCTCAGAGAGCTCCTCAGAGGAAGAATTTGAAGCAAAATCAGGTGGGCTTCGCTTGGAATGTAGGCTTTGGGGCATATGGCAGGTGGGAGTGGGGTTGGCTTAGGATAGTGAATGGGAAGTAGGAGGCTGTGAGAAAAGAACTAGAGCAGGCAGAGAAATAGATAAGGTGCTCAGTGCTTCACTTGGTCTGATTTCATCTCTCATGAGGAATAGTGTGTCAAGGGCATAACTCTGGATGAGCTCAGTGGGTTTCATCCTCTACTTTCAGGCTGTCTCCAAGGGGAGAGCACCCAGGGAAAATGGCATGACACTAGAGCAGCAATGATCATAGTTAGGCCTCCAGGGGCATTTCCAATGGGAATGTCCTACTGTGAAAATATTCAATCCTTGCTTGCTACAGCTTACATTTCTTTCTCCTTGGTAAGTCTGTTGTGGGGGAAAAAAATATAGGGAGGAGTGGATAGAGTGAGGTCCAGGGAGGGAAGAATGGGAAAGGCTTTTTGTGCATCCATCTTGCGTTGAACTTCAAAAGAGCCTTCAGGTTGAACCGTAGAGAATTCAGTGGGTGGTTACACTGACCAAGCCAGGGGAAGGGCGGCAGAAGTCCTTAGATCAAGAAGAGAGGCCAATCAACTGCCTGCCCCCTAGGAGCCCACGTCTAATGATTTCAGAAATTCCCTCATGGCCTGAGTGTTTGTCTAGGGACTTTCCTGTGAGGTGCTGAACACTCCAGCTAGAGGTGTTGACCCAAGGTTTAGGTCCTGGAGTACCTCCTTTTCCTGAAAAATAATCGTTGAACTTGCATTACTATGAACTATATCCAGTTCGTGTGCATTTACCATTTAATCAACACAACTTTTTGAGCTTAGGGGCAGATAGCGTTATGTGCATTATTCCCCTTGTACTGATAGGAAAACTGAGGCAAAGAAACACAAAGGGAGTCCCTCAGGGCTACTCCACTCGGTGCTGGCCGGGACATCTCGAGTTTCCCCCATCCCGGGAAAGTCCATTAACTCGGTAAACTTTTATTAAGCCCCTCCAGGACCCCCGACGCCACCGAGGGGCCCCCGGCGGTCTCCAGGCTCGCTCTGTGCCTGCACTGAGGACGACGCCCGCAGCCTGTCGCCGGTCGCCTGTCGCCCAGCGCTGTCATGGCACAAGAAAATGCGGCCTTCTCACCGGGGCCGGAGGAGCCACCGCGGCGTCGCGGCCGCCAGCGCTACGTGGAGAAGGACGGCCGGTGCAATGTCCAGCAGGGCAACGTCCGCGAGACGTACCGCTACCTGACCGACCTGTTCACCACGCTCGTGGACCTGCAGTGGCGCCTCAGCCTCCTCTTCTTCGTGCTCGCCTACGCGCTCACCTGGCTGTTCTTCGGCGCCATCTGGTGGCTGATCGCCTACGGACGCGGGGACCTGGAGCACCTGGAGGACACGGCGTGGACGCCGTGCGTCAACAACCTCAATGGTTTTGTGGCCGCCTTCCTCTTCTCCATTGAGACCGAGACCACCATCGGCTACGGGCACCGCGTCATCACCGACCAGTGCCCCGAGGGCATCGTGCTGCTGCTGCTGCAGGCCATCCTCGGCTCCATGGTGAACGCCTTCATGGTGGGCTGCATGTTCGTCAAGATCTCACAGCCCAACAAGCGCGCCGCCACGCTCGTCTTCTCCTCTCACGCGGTGGTGTCACTGCGCGACGGGCGCCTCTGCCTCATGTTCCGCGTGGGCGACCTGCGCTCCTCGCACATTGTGGAGGCGTCCATCCGCGCCAAGCTCATCCGCTCGCGCCAGACGCTCGAAGGCGAGTTCATCCCGCTGCACCAGACCGATCTCAGCGTGGGCTTCGATACCGGTGACGATCGCCTCTTCCTGGTCTCCCCTCTTGTCATCAGCCATGAGATCGATGCTGCCAGCCCCTTCTGGGAGGCGTCGCGACGTGCTATGGAGAGAGACGACTTCGAGATCGTGGTCATCCTAGAGGGCATGGTGGAAGCAACGGGTGCGGGCGAGCTCCAGGAGGGGAGGGAGGTCGCGAAAGGGAGGGCCTGGGAAGTTGCAGAAGGATGGACCAAAAGATGGTGAGGTCAGATATCGAGGTTAGATAGTGCAGCCTGGCACCGAGGTGGAAGCTAGAAGTATGAAAAGAGGGAGGCCGGGGGACCCCTACTGGAGCAATGTGTCACATGAAGTAAGAAGAGTAATAATAATCCATAACACTGGTAATACTTGCTCTGTGTGATGCACCATTCCCCCCCCACACACACACACACACATACCTTTGTGTGTGTGTGTGTGTGTGGCACTGGGGAGAGAACCCAGGGCCTCACTCATGCCAGGCAAGCACTCTAGCACCAAGGGACATCCCCAGTCTTCAAAGCCCTTAATACCTTTCTGTTCATTTAATTATAGCAAGAACCCTCTGAAGGTAACTTATTGTGTTCATTTTTCAGAGATGAGATAGCCCCAAAAAGAGTTTAAGTACGCATTCCACCGTCATAAGCCAATAAGTAGCTGTGCCTGGATTGGACATATGAGATCTAGCTTCAGTGCTTAGTGATCCCTAGTTGGAATGAAAGTTTAAGTTCAAAATTTTTCTTGTTGCCAAGAGGTCTGGGCTCCTGGAATGGGATGGTGAAGGTTTTCCCTGGCCCGAGTTATTCCTGGAAGAGGACCTTAAGGAGAGGCTGATACCTAGTTTCACTTCTGTCTTGGTATCCCATCAATTCACCAAGACCCTCAACTTCTACTGACAAGGAAATAGATTATGGTACCGATTCTGGCCCCTTCCCAGAAGGAACTGGAGACTCACATGTGATGTCAATATCTTCAGCTTGGGCCTACACAGTGAAGTGTTTGGGAGCAGGTATGAATAAAATAATATAGGAGCAGTACATTTCCTTAGGACTTGAGATCTAGAAGTTGGATGAGAATAAGGAAAATACAGGTGAGGAATAAAGGCCCTAGGGGGCGCTGCAGCTCCTGCTACTAGGGCCAGGGCTGTAGCTCCCTGCTATCATCTTATGACAAGCTGGTGCTTTCAGACCCTTTCCTTGGCCCCTTCAAACTGAGAGGAGGCTTCAGCCCCACCCCACCCTTACTAACTCCCCTCTCAATGTTCTCATTCCACCTTCACTCAGACTGGGCTCACTCAGCTCTCTCCCTTCCCCACTCACCCTATTCCCCCTCCCTTACCTCTCCAGCTGTCACTCCTTTTTAGCCAGTATCTCAGGAAGGACCCTGGGAACCTCCTGTTCTGCTCTCTTTTCCCTTTGAACCTCAGCCCCTGCCTTTCTTCCTATCAGCCCCCATTTCTGCAGTGACTCTTGTGCCTTTTCTCCTCCCCAAAGGGATTCTTCCTATTCTAGCCTTCCCCCAAGATGTCTCAGGGCCAGACTTTCAACGTTAGAACCAGTCTCTGGTTAGTTAATAATAGTCACTTTCTGTTTCCCCCTTGTTTGGAGATGAATTGGGGAGAGACCCTGGTGTAGGAGGAGACTGGCCCTGGGCGTGCAATAGCCCAACAGGGAGAATTGGGGAGGGTGAGGTAGAGATGATAGGGATGGGAGCTTGTCTGATTTTTCTAGAGCAATAAATCTGGGAAGGATGGTAATATTTTAGGATTTAAAGTGCTTTTGAAAAACAAGAATAATGAGCCAAAACCCAACAAGATGACATTTTAAAGGAATAAATATAAAATTCTACATTTAGGCTTAAAAAAAAAATCACTTATGTAAGCACAGCATGGAGCTCTGGTGAAAAAAAAAAAAGTGGGGGTTTTAGTTGGCCACAGGCTTATGTAGCAATGTGATGCAGCTTCCAGAAGCATTTATGTAATGTAATCACAGGCCCTATTAGCTGCAGCATCCTGGCCAGAAGCAAGAGATAGTGAGCCTTCTTTTATGCATAATTCAGGCCACAACTGGAGAATTTATCGCACTCAAAGGGACACTTCAAGAGTCCTCTTTGGCCTTACTGGTTTGCAATCAAGAAAGTAAAATTTTTCGCCAACAGGTCAGGTTTGGGATACTTAGTTGGAAGAAAACAAAAGGGAACCTGAATCCTGTTTTTATATACTCAAAGGGGTGTCAAATAGGAAGAGAATGAGACCAAGGGGTAGAAATCCCAGGAGAAAGATTTTAGTTTAAAGAAAAACAACCCAAGTATTAGAGCAATCACACAAAGAAATGGGCTTCTTCTGAGATGGTAGGCCATCAATCCTGGGAGGTAATCAAGTAGATGCCCATTGTTGAGAACCCAATGCGGAGTGGGAAATTGGAATAGACAATCCTTAAGATGAGTTTCAAGGCTAAGGAGGGGGAAGCATGAGCAGGAAATGAAATGTGGATAGACAAGAACAGGAATTGGAACGGGGAAGAAAATAGGCTAGACCAAAGTGAGGTGGGGGCCTGGGGGAGAGATGGCAGGGAGGGTGCTAGGAATGGGACTGTGGGGTAGAGACAGGAGAGAGAAGCCTGGGGCTGGGATCCCCTGACCTATGCTCCTTTTCCCCAGGAATGACATGCCAAGCTCGGAGCTCCTACCTGGTGGATGAGGTGTTATGGGGCCACCGCTTCACATCAGTGCTGACCCTGGAGGATGGCTTCTACGAGGTGGACTATGCCAGCTTCCACCAGACTTTTGAAGTGCCCACGCCCTCATGCAGTGCCCGGGAGCTGGCAGAGGCTGCAGCCCGCCTTGACGCCCATCTCTACTGGTCTATCCCCAGTCGGCTGGATGAGAAGGTGGAGGAGGAGGGGGCAGCGGAAGGGGCAGGTGGGGAAGCTGAGGCTGACAAGGAACAGAATGGCTGCCTTCCACCCCCAGAGAGTGAGTCCAAGGTGTGACCAGTTTCCTCCAAACCCCTGTAGCAGACCAGGGGCCAGACACAGGTACATGGGGAGCTGGATGTTGGAGGTGGAAGAGGAGCTGGATGCTGGAGGTAGAAGAGGAGCCAGGTGAGGTCCCAGAGAAGGTGCTAAAGTTAGAGAGGTTCCTTGAGAACCTTGAGTCCAGAATACAAGGGAAGGGAAGTTCCCTGATTTGAGGAGAATGGAAGATGGGGATGGGCAAACACACCATCTCTCTGTGTTTGACTTTCGCCATCTGTTCATGGGTGGATAGATGGGCAGAAGGATGGTATTATGGGGGTTAGATGGGAAGATGGTGACAAAAAGGCAACTGATGGATAGGTAAATGGACCAATCAGTTGGTACCATTTATCTGGACAGCTGGTGCACTCAGGGCTGTAGCTACCATAGCACACCTTTGTGCAAATTCTAAAAAGGCATCTTTTTCCTCCAGACACATGCAGCCCCAAACCAGGATGCTTGGCTTGAGGAACAGTGTGAGATGGAATGCAGTCCCCACTCACCTCCTCGGCATCCTCTCTGTGTGTGACACACCTATCTCAAATGAATAGAGTAGCCCAAGCCGAACCAGAGGAGAGAAAGCCAGACAGGTGTAGGCACAGATGGGGACCACCCCCCAGCTCCACCCTCCCGCTGGACAGACTCAGGAGGAGGTAACTTGCTGTGAGAGCTCAGCAAGTCTCAGTGGCCTTGGTACTCAGGTGTAGGGCAACAGGCAGTGAGGACAGATGCTGGAGCTGGGGCTCTGGAGCAAGTCCTAGGAGGGGGGATCCAGGGATGGCTATTTTCTGACAAGAGATAAGATTTTGCGGGTACTACTGCAGAGATAGGATGGGAGAGATTCAGAAGCAAAGGGCCAGGGGAGAGATCTAGAAAGTGCTGTCCTGGAGAGAGATGGTGGTTCTTGGGGAAGCAGAGTTTGTCCTTGAGGCAGAGTTAGGGAGATTGTCCAAATCACTGATTGAGTGCTAGGTGTGGTAGACCTTCAAAGATCTCATTCTTATTGCCAGAACACAGGACACATGGAACGAGCACACATACAGCTATGGCAACTGAACGAGGTACCGCTGGCACTGAGAACCTATGCTGTCTCTTGGAGCAGGGAGTGGGCGGCATTTGGTGATCAGATAGTAGGAATTGAGTCAGGCAGAGAGAATGATGAAAGGCCAAAGTTGTACAACTTTTCTGGGCATTAGAATCACCTGGCGGGCTTGTTAAAACGCACAGTGATGGGCCCCACTCCCAGATTTCTGACTCAATAGGTCTGGGGTGGAAACCAAAAATGTGCATGTCTAACAAGTTTCCGAGTCATGCTGACGCTGCTGGACTGGGAACCACACTTTAAGGGGTCAAATAACCTGGGGAGTAGCTGAAAAGAAACTGAGACTCCTGGGGGAGCCGAGAAATGTGAGAGGTAGAGTTTTGTGTGTGGGAAAAGAGACCCAAGCCCAGGCTAACGAGTTTAATTTTGGGACTAGGGATTCAGTGGGAACTGGTCAATGACAAACTGAGGTGGTGTTTGGTAAGACAAGTGGGCAAGACACATAGGACAAAGTAGTTGGAAGGAAGGCCTTTTGGAGACTCCTAAAGAGGTAATGGGGAACTGAAGCAGAAAGGGCTTCAAAGGCAAAGGACCAAATCCCCTGTAGAATTGAAAAGGCAGAAGTGAACATGGGAGGAAATGAGAGTCCAAACATCTGGGTGTGTTGACTGCCTGCTGTCAGGCCCCCCCCCCCCCCGGAACAGGAATCCCTGGAGATGCACAGTCTCACCCCAGTCATCCCAGGATGGCAAGGGGAGAGCAATGAAAAGTTGAAAAAAGGCAGAAGGTTGGTTGAGAGAACCTGAGGTTGGCTTCCTGGAGAAAAGTATGGCCCAGGCGAGCGCGCCCTGAAGGGACCTACCAGGACCTTCATCTCCCACCCTGACTGCGCCCCAGTCACGTCTCTGAATAACAAGTCACAGCCCCTTGGGGGAAGGCAGGCACCCTAGTCTGCTCATTCCAGGCTGGGAAGCCAGGATCCTAGTGGCACTGCACCTTCCAGAGGCAAGAAGGAAGACCTAAGCCTCATCCCTTCCCTTCAGTCTAGGCATGGGTGTCTGCCTCGGGTCCCAGGGCCACCTGGGTCACCCTCAGTCAAAGACAAGGTCCTATAATGCTGATGACAGCTATTCTCCCAAGAATAGATATTGGGGTAGGGGATGGGGAGCAATCTGGGTTTAATTCAGTGGAACAGGTGAAGTCTATAGTGGGGGTCTTCTTGGTCCACACACACACACACACACACACACAGCACTGAAACCACTGTAATTGAACAGAAAGAGAAACTGAGGCTAAAACAGATCCCTCCTTCCCCTGGAAAAGTTGTGGCCACACCTGTCCTCACCACTGTCACCACTCAGGATACCACTGTACAGTGCAAAGAGTCAGGAGACCTGGGTTTTAGTGCCGACACCGTCACTGACTCGCTCTATGACTTGTTCACATCCCAGAGAAGTGATGCTCATCAAGTTTCATCACTTCTCTGGGCCTCAGTTTCCTCATCTGTGAAAAACGACACTTAGCAAACCAGCTATGCTCAATAAATGTTAAATAATTAAATTAAAAGAGGTAGACTGGATGCCTCTATAGGGGCAGAACAGGCCAGAAGTTTAAGATCACAGGATCCTTAGGCAAAGGGTGAAAGTAGGCAGGGTGGGGAAGCCAGCAGGGTGGGGTATGTAGGGGTAGCAGCTTGGTGGACAAAGTCAGTGGAGGCGTCCCCTGAATGCTGTTGTCCCTGTTCTAGGAAGCCTATTCTGCTGTGTCAGAAAGCATAATTAAGGTCAGGAGGAAAAAGACTGAGGCCCCAGGGCTTAGAAGGAGGAGACAAGTTTGAAACTAGCTCGACTAGGAAAATGAAGACAGGCAGAGGGCTGTGGCCAAGTCAGGGGAGCTCAGAAAGGCGCTGCACCTGGAAGTCCCTGCCCATAATGTGGGAGAAGGGTCCCCTCCCCAAACAGGAGCCCCCTTAGGAGTTGGTTCAGCACTGACAATTCAGGCAGCAGATGGGACCCAGGTGTCTCTTCCTGGGGTGGGTGACAAGGCCCATGGAGGCCAGATGGTGTTTATGGTGGGAAGAGAGGCGTGGTTTTGTCCAGGTTATCAGCCCCCAACAACCTCCCTACTGCATACCCCAGCCTTTTACAGCTTCGTGGCAGGAGAAGACACAGCTAGGCCTGGATTTTATAAAACAAATTTATTCACATTTTAGAAAAACTAGTTCAAGGACATGGAATAGCCTTTTTATAAGACCAAGAACAGAGGCCGGAGGGAGGAGCCGGGGCAGGAAAGTGTGGGGCATGGGGCCATGTCTCCCACTTTGCATGGGGGTAGGTCAAATAAATTAAAGGAAGGGTGGCCAGAGGGAGAGGGTATCCGGGCAACCAGAGCAGGACTTGGAGCTGGCTGGAAGACAGTTGACACCTGCAAGAACTGGAGAGAGAATGCAGCGTGGACTGAGGACAAGCCCTAAGTGCAGCTCCCTCTCGGCCCTCGCCCCACTAACAGGATCCTACAGAACCATGCTGGTTGCTCCTCCTCCAGGTGGGGCCCAGGAGGAAGCCACTCATCAGTTTGGGGAAGCCTAAAGAAGACAGGGCTAAGGTTTCTTCCCCTCACCTGTGGAGCAAGGAATCACCGTTTTCGGAGCCTCTTCATGAAGCAGCAGGTGATGGTGGCAAGAATGGTGGCGCCAGTGACTAGGGCCACTCCTGTACCCACCAAAAGGGGCACAAATAGGGTGTCCAGAGCTGGGTGAGAGAGGATGGCTGTGTTCAGGGGGAGTGCCATTGTTCCCCACCCTCCGTCACACTCTCGCCTTCAGGTTCTCTGAACTCACCCCCTACATGCACAGAGAGCCCTCCCTGCTCCCTGCCTGCCCTCTGCCATGGCACAGATGGGCACACAGGGGCTCTTCATGCGAAGTGATAGCAGCAGGAGGTCGGGAAGATGGAAAGGGAAGAACAGGACAAGGGCTGGGAGGAAGCAGAGGTATGGCAGGTGGAGGGAGGGGAGTCACTCACCATGCATGTAGGGGTAGACTGTGACGGGCCCCGAGCGGGCACTGCCTGCCTGGTACCAGCTGTAGTCAGCATGCTGCACCCAGGCGCTGGGGGCGCAGTGGTACACACCTTCGTCCTCAGGCCCCAAGCTGTGCAGCCTCAGTCGATGGCTTCGGGGACCCACCAGCTCCACGCTGACAGGGCCTCCACCTGGCCGGACCCCCAGCTCTGCCACACCATCCTGGTCCACACCGCCTACCAGCTGGGCAGGGCCAGAGCTCAGCTCCCCCTCCTCTAGTCGCTCCACCCACCAGCTGGCAGCCAGCCGCAGCCCTGGGGGGCCGCCACGCACAGAGATGTTGCACAACAGGGATGCAGTCTCCCCACGGTACACCGTGCCCCCTGCTAGCCATGCCACAGCCTCCAGTGCCACTCCTGCAAAATGAAGGACCTGGGATCAGAGAGCGAAGAGTCAGGATTTATGGTGTCAGGGTTAGTGTTGAAGCAAGTATCCAGAAAACTCAGGTTATTCCCACAATCCTGATGGAAGAGTGAGACTGAAGAATGGCAACAGCTAATGAACTGGGATAGGGGCACAGAAATAGAAGGAAAGGGTCCTAGAAGCCCCAAACCCTGCTGAGAACACAACCCCATCTCACCTTCCTCCCGTACATGCACAGGAAGAGGCCGGGAGCGGGCACTGGCTGCTTCTCGAAGCCGCGTCCCAGACCCTCGAACGTAGGCTTTGGCAAGACAGCGATAGGTACCAGCATCCCCAGGCCTGGCAGCCTCTAGCCGTAGACGGTAGGTTCTAGATGCCACCTTCTCCATGGCAATGTGCCGGCCCTCATAGCCAGGGCCCAAGCTGCCCACGCCTTCTGTGTCCAGCTGGGCTACCAGGCGGCCAGGCCCGGGTGCCCCTGCAGGGGCCATCTCCCAGCCCACAGAGTATGCAGCATGAGGGCCTGGTGGGGGCAGTGCCCCTGACACATTGCACAGCAGTTCCAAAGGTTCCCCTGGGCCAATCCGACGTTCACCAGGCCCCACTGTCACTGCCAACTGGCTAGCTGAAACATGTGAGGAAGAAGGGCGTCTCAGAGGTGGGGACCCAAAGGCACCTGATTCCCTACCTGTAATTCTTTCCTGGATAGCAACAATTTGCAGGCCTCCTGTCCGCCCTTCACTTGGTGTGACCATCTCCCCTGCCCAGAGGCCTGAATCCTGCCTTTCACCCATGGCCCTTCTATCTCCATGCCCAATTTCCAAGTAAAGAAAATCTGTCATGGGTAGAGAGGAGAGCAGTGCCAACAGTGGGGCTCACCCTATGCAAGACAAAGAACTCATCTATGCAAGATGAGTTCCCTGGAGTCAGGCAACGATAATCTACTAACTCTGGGACCCCACTGAGACACCCCCTTCTGTGGCAAGACGTGTGGCACTCACATAGTGTCTGCACATCCACATGGGCCAGGACAGCCCTTTTCTCTGCAATCTGTGCCCAACTGCCATCAGGATCCTGAATCCACTCAGCAGCAGTACAGTGATAGGTGCCTGCATCTCCGGCCTGGGCGCCCCCGACCACCATGCGGTACCGATCAGCCCCTTCCTTGCCAAGCCGCAATTCCCCTGCAGCTAGCCGCTCAGCATAGGGGGGTCCAGCCTCCACAGCCAAGTTAGACCGGAGTCCCACCACTTCCTGCAGAGTGGCTCGACCCACTGGAGCCTCAGGTACAGCTCGTCCAAAGGACACAGCCAAGTGTGTGTGCTTCTCTGTGTTTGTCCGTGCCAGGCAGCCCAGGGCCAGCTCCTGCCCCTCGTGCACCGACAGGCGTGGTGGTGAGGTCGGGGCTTGACGGCCTCGTGGCCCTGGGGGAGCAGCAGACACCTGCAGCATATCTGGAAGAACTGGAGAGGACAGCTGGCATGAGGGAAGGCTGGGAGCTGGCTTGTTACTATTTCCTGTGTACAATCCATCCCCTGAACTGCCTGAGCTCCAAAAGGCAAAGATTGCATGTTATATTATTTCTTTTGTAACTCAGTGGTGCCAAACACAGTGCTGGGCACACCAAGGCGCTCAATAAATACTTGTCGAATTTCCCAGAATCAGCCCATTGCCTCTCCCTGTTGTGTTAAAGACTGGCACCTATTTGAAATACTTGGAAAACTAGCCCTGTTTTCCTTCTCAGAGGACAAACTTAAGAGCGTAAGAATATCCCATGGCATAATTCCTACCCATCTATACTTTTCCCTCCCCACATCTGGGTCCTGGACTCTCTAGGAATAGAGTATTCAATCCATCACACTTCCCCATCCAATCCAAGAGTGGGACTAGATAGTGAAGGACACTTACTCTTCTCCCAAAAAGTAGTCTGATAGAAGAAAAGCAACGGACTGCGAAAAAAGAGATCTACGTTTGGTCCCACAACAGCCAATGACTCATTGGGTGACTCTGAGGTCATACTTTGGTCCTCAAGTTCCTCAAATGCAAAACCTGAGGGTGGATATGGCCCATCCCATCCCAGTGCCCAGTACCTCTCAGTTCCACTTTGCCACTGTAGCTGCCCAGGTATTGGGCATCTGTGGAGGGAGTGTAACACTCGTAAATGCCAGCATCCTGGGCCTGCAGGCGGGCAATCTTGAGTACCACGGCATCACCCTGTAGACGCTGCACCTGCACTTCACCAGCCGCCACACGGGGCCCAAACACAGCATAGGAGAACCGTGTATCCCTCGTGCTGATGATGCCCAGTGCGGCCTCTGGGGCCTCAGGCCTGTACAGGAACCACTCAAAGTCCTGCTGGGCAGGGCCCTCGTAGCCACTCACATTGCAGGAGATGGAGACAGCTGTGCCAGCCACTCGGTACAGGGGCCCCATGGGGACCAGCACCTCCCGGGCACAACACACGACTCCTGTAGGGAAAGGCAGAGGAGTAGGAGGTATCTAGGTCCCCATTCCATGTCCAAGACCACCAGCACCATTCTTGACCCTGACTGTGAAAGGAAGGGAAACCCAGAGAAGGTTGGTACACAGAGGGCCAGCCTCTGATCAAGAACAGGGAAGGGATGCTGGGTCTCAAGAAAGTGACATAGGCCCAGGTTTGCCTTAGAACTCAAATACATCCCATTTCTGGCTGGCCAGAAACAGAGCATCTATAAGCATCTGATTCCCTGACTTTACCTGTTTCATTTCCATGTAGACCTTACCTCTCCTACCCCATTCCCCACTTCCATGTCTGCTTCTACTTTTTTAGGACTTGGTCAGGGGAGCCTTCTGATTCAGGAATCCCAAGACCTCCTTTGCTGGAGGGGATCCAAAAAATATTGCTCAAGGGCTTATTAGCTATGTCACCTAGGCCAGACAATGGAGCCAGTGGCCCTCTCTGGACAGGGCACAGACCCAGTCAGTTCTCATCACACAATGCCCTCCCCACTCCAGCTGTGCCATGAGCTCACTGCTTCTCCTACCCCACAGAGTTGCCAAGGCAGCTGGGGCTTTTGCTGCAAGAACCAGGCTCTGCCCTGCCTGGGGCAGAAGATTCCCTCCCCCAGTGCCTGCCAATCTTCTGGCTAGCCCAGCTGATGTACACTGCACCTCCCCCCCCAACTCCCTAACAAAGCCTTCATTTGCATATGATATGCATCATTTACATATAGCTCCTT